CTTAGCCCTTGCAACTAGAAGTTGAATGTTTGGAACCACTCATGCGAGTTCTTCACAAAAATGAGTCGAGAAGTGGCTTGAAGTTCTATGGGAGGTGGGCTCTATGACTAGTCCGCTAGGATGGTCAATAAGAACTCTTAAGCTAGATCCTAGGTTCTAAGAGTAGGAGACTAAGACCTCACTAAAAAATGAGGTCAACAATCACAAAAAGTGATCACAACATACAAAGCGAACAACCACTTGATTTGCCCTATAAAGAAGAGAATGATGAGATCGGGGCCATACAAGGACCTATTATCGTGATACAGTCGTGATTCAAACTATCTTAGGGGCCAAAGGCGGGACTTCAGCTTACATTATTTGTCTTTTATGATTGAAAGTTTTTCGGAAAATAATGACATTCAAGAAGCATGCCTTGGAAGAAAAATTAGAGGAGCATGTAAGACAAATCAGATCAAGAATGGATGAGCATTTCACGTCGATGAAGGGGCTATTTACATCCATAGATGAGTGAATTTTGTCCATGGAGAGCAGACTTAAGATGGTGAAAGAAATCATGAAAAAATTTATCGAGTTTCAAGTAAACTTGTAGCCTCCTGCAGTAAGATCGAGTAGGAGCATCAAGAGCAGACTCAAGCGACAGTCCTTAAAAGGAATAATGTGGCATTCAGACGGTGGGAACGAGCATCGGCAGGCAGAATGGAACAATATTGGATTAGGGGCTCGAGAAGATCGATTTGAAAGATTATGGTCTGGAACAAGAAACCACGATAAGTGGGACACCAGTAGAGGGTTGCATCCAACTGTGCCAACGCCTTTTTCTACAACCTCAGGGAGAAATGTGAGGCAAGTCTATAGAGATTGGCGGGTTGATTATGAGAAGAGTCAGACTTATGGAAAGATGAAATTCAACATAGGATGCAGAATGGAACCAAACCACCGCTTCATGGGCAGAATGAACTTTCGTCAAAAGAATTGGGCAGGAAGCTCGCGCATAAAGAAGTTGAAGATGTCGATCATCCAGGGGGGACGCATTTGGGTGGGTGTACCGGGTGGAGCGATATTTCAAGATAAATGTGCTAAATGAGGAGGAGAAGCTCATGACAGCGGGGTTATGTTTGGAAGGGAAGGCCTTAGCATGACTTCAATGGTGACTAAATACCTAATCCGCTCGTAGGAAAAATTTAAGTTTTGTTCGAACTTTTCCAAGCCAAACAGGAAGAGGACCTACATGAGAAATTCTTTGCATCGACTCGGGAAGAAACTGTCAAATAGTATTAAGAGAAATGTAAACTCTTGTCAGGACAACAGAGGGGAATTTATGAAACACTATGGGAGTCGAACTTCATGAAGGATCTAAAGCCCGACAAACATGCAACACTTCATCCACTGAGACCGCAAAACTAGGGAGAAATTATGGAATTAGGGCGGTCGGTATAAGATCATAATGAAATGGCAGGGGCTAATCAGAGCAATACATGTGGAGTGTCATATCGAACTGCTACAACCACAACGATAACAAAAGCTCAAAATGTGGAAGTTCAGAGGGAGGTTTCACACATCAAGAATCATGGGTCACGACTGGAAGCAACACTCAAGCATCTGACAAAGACAAAAATTTAGAAAAAGCGAGCCAAGTGATTATGTTTTCTGTGTAATGAGAATTTTATCCTAGGACATCGTTGCAATGATCAAGCATTACAGGTTCTCATAATGTTTGATGAGGCAAAGGATAAAAAAACTGAGAAGCTTGTGGAGGAGGAACACCTTTATGTTTTCCCATCTTGAGGACAAGGTGTATTGGGAGAAAGTATTGTTACATCGGTGTCTAGCTTAAGGAAATTTTGTCTTTTGTATGCGAAAGTAAAATTTAGTTTTTTGTAATTTATTATATTGTTTAGTATCGATGTCTTTAACAAATTTCAATCATCGTGCATGAATCTCAAGCTATGACACGGATCTTAAGGCAAATTTTTTGAAAGAAACATTCAAAATTCGATTTGAAGTCATCCAAAACTCTGATTTCACCAAATATACAGTCAAAATGATTGGCTCAACGAGACAGCCCTAACGATACCAAAATCGGCCTAATCTGAGATAATTCAAGCCGAGACCAAGCTATAAAATCACTTTTAGAAACTTTCTGGATATATTGGAAGGTTAAACGAATTTCAAATATGACATGCTTATAGTCAAATCGAGCGCCTCGATAATTCCAACATCATTACGGAACTAAAATGTCTATCGAACGATGTCCAATCAACAGGATCTCTCTGAACCATCCAATCAAGAGTGGTTCGGATTTCGTTCTTATTTGCAATATGGACTCTATAAATAAAGCTCTACAACTCTCATGATAGGAGACCTAGACCTTGGGCAAGAGGAAAACTAGAGCCTGCAGAAGACAGAGCTGCAGCCCAGCATCCTAAACTGTAAATTTGGCCAACTTCGGCCGCTGCCACCTTAGTCCAATTACCCCCGCTTCCGACCAAATCTGGTCTCCACTGCCTCAGGTCAACTTTGGCTGCCGCCACCTTCGACCTACACCACCTCCTGCCAATTCTGATCGTCATCGCATCCGACCGCAACCATCTCCAGCCAACTCTGATCGTCACCGCCTCCGACCAACTTTGGTTATCGTCGACCATCGACGCCTCCAATCAACTCTGACCACCACCGCCTTTGGCCAACTCAAATCGCCCCACCTCAGACCAACTTCTAACACCATCGCTGCTTTCGGCCAACTCCAGTCGCCTCCCGCTTCCTACCACATGGGAACAAGTTCTTCTGGGCACGGACGTTGTAATCTGAGAAACCGTGTAACCCTTTCTCGCCTGTGGAACTTATAGTGGAATATTTCAACCAGGCAAGGCCCCATGGTTTTTTTCCTTTCCGGATTTTTCACGTAAAATCTTATAGTGTCCCTATGATTATTTTCTTTCATCTGAGTGTGCATTGGATTCTTGTACAGCGCTAAGACAATAATTCGCTACTCTACCGCCATAAATTTTCTAGCACGCATCAAATATAAATAGGACTAATATGTTTAGCGTTAAAGTTATGCATGAGATTGTGCATGGAGTTTTGGGTTTAAGGTTTGGGAGAGATTTCAAACCACTCAAATTGTAGGAATTGTGAGATATCACCTACCTCTCGAATTGCAAGTGTTTATCTTTGTATTCATCTTGAGTTATTAATGTTCTTACAATAAAATATTATTTGTCATAATTTCTGCTAAGAATCATATCAAACTCCCACCAAAACAAACAGTGAAGATAATAGTTTCAAGAGTGCTTTGTTTGAATTACTACATTAAAACTTGCACAACAAGAAGATAGAAATAACATTATGAACTGAGATGGTGCACTCCAACTAAGAACATGCTACCAAAACTAATGCCAGTCGTGAATATTTGCTTAAAATAATGAAGCCATATGAAAGTAATAAAAAAAAGAGAGAAGAATCATACAATTGGACAGTAGGTTCTGAAAAACAGCATGAAGCCCTGATTCAATGTCAGAAATTGTGAGCATCATCACATATGGTTTAAAACTTGTGAGATACTCAAAGATGGAAGCAATCTTTGTCTGCAAAGTTGGAGATGACGTCTTTAACATTCTAATGAGATATTTTACAACATCAGAGTCTATAACTCTTTCCCTGGAGAACCATGCAACAGCCAA